CATGAATATTATTTGAATGTGTTGCTGAAAGAAAAAATTGTTTTTGAAGTTCTCATTTCTAACTAATATTTTAGTTTGAATGTTATGGCTTATATTTACTTAAGTAGGTGTGAATTTACTTGAGTTGAAAAGTGTAGGGATTACTATAGAAAGTAAATCAACACAGTCTAAGATTTATACCACATGCCAATAATGAGGGAAGAAGAATATAAAAAAGATTCAAAAGGTTGCTTTAAAAATAGAAGAGCATAATTCTTCCTGAAACAAATTTTCAAGTATTGTTGAGCGACAGACTATTACATTTATGTTAATACACATATACAGGGTTTGTACACATTTCTGCACACAGAAATTAAGTACTTTTAAGGACCATTAATGAAAAAAATTAAGGACCTATGAGCAAATGAGAACTGAATAAATTCAATTAAAAATATTATCTATGCCTGAATTTCACATTTGTAATACCATCCTAAATATAAAATAGATCACTAAGTAATATGCATTACTACTAAACATGAACTAAAATAATTATTAATAAGTTTGAGAAGAAATTTATCAAGCAGCATTAAATATTTTACACTTATAATAGTTTGAAATATTTGAAAGAAGATAAGTGACATTTACATTTTACTAACAGTTAGCTTTATAAGATACAATAACACACTGAACAAATATTAATTTAGAAGTCAAACAACAAAATCAGAGTTATATTTTCAAATTTTCACCGGACTACTTTCGATGGTTTTATCGAACCATCATCCTCAGCTGCAAAAACGCAAATGCTTTATGTTGATTTTTTTTTTTTTTAAATGTCTCATTTTGTCACATACTTGGTCAGTCTAGGGGTTTAATAAATAGAAGGTAGGTTTTTTGTCAAACAGCACAGGTTAAAATGAGAAGCAAGATCCTAATCAGCATGATTCATAACCAAAGACTGAATGTTGTCACCACTGCTGCTTGTCTAGAGAGAACTGCTGATTAGAACAAACCGGAAAGGTCTGATGTAGGCACGGTTGGCAAGAGTTAACAGTTAATCACTCTGTTTGATGCAGTTAGTGTCGTAGCTTCGTGCAGAGATCCAAGGCTTGTAACCCAATTAATATACTTTAAGGTTCCAACTAGCCATTAAAGCACCAGAGATGATAAGTTATTTTGTATTATTTTCATTAGATGCAAAGAATAAGTTTTACTTAAATTTTTACATTTTTGTGTTTTATCTTGCAACCACAGTGAGTATTAATGAAAGGCAGTAACTCGCTTTAATAGGTGAAGATAATTTAGGCAGTTAGTGATAAATAATTAAATTAGGTAGTTAGATAACCTTAGTCATTATGGATTTACATGGCCACTATTAAATTTTATTTTTTAAACCCCTATTAAAATCGAAAACTAATAAAATTTCACAGTTTAAAATACATGTTATTTATGACATCGATTCTTAAGCGATATAAGGATAATTACACATTAAAAGCTACAAAACATTTATGTTTTGTAACAACAACACTCAAACAAAATATTTATCTGTCATTTTAATTTGAAGCCTTCCCAAACATTTCAGCTAGTTTATATCGATTATTATTTCCTTCTCTTTAAGCATCTTTTCTAACAATTAGAGATTTGTCTCAATATGAAAACCAATGCTGTTGCTAGTTTTTGTGTGTTTTATCTCCTAACTCGTCAACCTCTCCACAATGTACCTATGGTGGTTTACTTGATCTGGTAAAAGTTAAACGGACCAAACCCCCCCAAAAGATGTGAAACAAATTATCGCTATGGCTGAAAGTAACTACAATATCAGACAAAAGGTTAAATAACCCTCTTATTTAAAAAGAACTTAGAACATAAGCATACTTGCCAACGTATGACACTCAAAAATCAGGAGATTTTTTTAAGAAATCGGGAGATTTTTCACAATGTTAAAAAGACTTTAAATGATGAAAATATAGTTTTTAATAATGAATTAATTTTAAATAGTAACTAATTCTTAAATGCAAGCAACACAAAAATACCTTACACATAAAAAACATTTTTATTACTTGCATCGTTTAAGAAAATGGAAAAAAAAAAACTTTAATCAGTTTTCGTACAAATATTATAAACAGTGGCAGATTTTGCTTTCTTTAAGAAAGAAACATCATAATTTTGTTCATAGCAATTGCCACGTAGGTCTGCTTTTGCTAATAAAAGTTTTTCTAATGTGTCATCACGAATATTAGATCTAAATTTAGTCCTCGTTTTCGCAACAACACTGAAAATCCTCTCGCACTCTGCATTACTATGGGGAACTGTCAAGATGGCCAACATAATTCTAGACAGTTCACTATATTTCAAAATTCCATCAGCATCTTTCAGTTTTCTAATTAAACTCCACTGGGTGTCAATCTTAGCTGATTTTATGACTTCATCCAAGTTCTCTAATTGTAAACTGCTGTTATGCAGCTGTTGGAACTGTTTCAATTTTTCCTTCTTTTTAGAACTCCTTTCAAGACAATAATAAATATCAACAATGTGTTCATCCACATTTATTGGTAAAGAAGCTGCCCTTTTTTCAGCTGCTAAATTTAAGGGGTGACAGGTGCACCTCATAATCTGCAAATCGGAATTTTCCTAAGATGCCTGCAACACCAGTATTCAAGCCTACCAATACTGGTGTATTATCAGCACCAAGTGCTAAGCAATTATCCAGAGGGACTACATTTTCTTTTAAAGTTCTAATAATTAGCTGTGGTATATTAAAGCCTGTCAAATGTCCTTCTAAAGTGGGGACAGAAAGTAAACTGAACTCAATTTCTGAAGACTCTGGATTATAAAAAGAAACAACAATTGGATACAGTTTTGAATTGGTATTATTGCTTCCATCCATAGAGAGGCAGAACGGAGCTGTTCTATTGCAATCAATAACTGATGATTTATTTTTCAAACCCATTTCTTTAACAATTGCACTTGTTTTGGTTCTTGCACTTGAATATTTCTTAGCGATCTCACTATCATCGGGAAACATTTTTCTAAATAAAGCTGCAGCGTGATCCGATGCATTCAGTGGCAGGTTGTACTCCTGCAAAAAGGCTGAGAACAGACATTCTGCATTAATAACTTTTTGGTCCTCTGTTTCTAAAGAAAAATTTAATTTGCCGTTTTTTTTTCTTCAAAACAACTCATGTTGTCCTTGTGTTTTTGTGTACGCAGATGTTTGAGAACATCTGCCCTTCCACCATGCGAAATAAAAAAAATCGCAAGGACAGGCAGTACACATCACAAATTTATTACATTTCCTTGAGGAAATAATGGAAGGAAAGTCAACTGTGTAGGATTTTTGAAACGTACACGAGTATTTCACCTTTCTCACAGACATAACAAAAGATGATAATTTCTAAAACTATTTCTCGAAGGCATGTGTACTCACACAACTCAGGACAAAATGACCGAAATAACTAAAGAACATCCAAATAACAGTTTGCGTTGTCCTCATTGGCTAACATATGCCAGATGACACGCAGTGGAGCACGATGCCCATTGGAGAACTGGAGAATGACCTTTCTGGATACATATATGCTCTCACTCACAAAGCAGAAGTTATCTAATTCGCAAGGTTTTGTTTTAGACATAAGCTAGAGAAAATTCAATTGCTTTCAGATGTTCAAAATCACTTTTTTTGTTTTGTTCATATAACAGCATTAAGCCAAGTTCCATAAAAATCGTGAGAAATTTTAAGAATAAGAAAAAGTCGGGAGAAATATATTGTAAATCGGGTTGGCGGGAGAGCGGTCGAAAATCGGGAGAATTGGCAACTCTGCATAAGGAACAAAGGGAAGATAAACATGTTAAGAAAAAGATTCTAGTATCAGAAGTAAAACATTCAAATATTATGTTTTCATTGTTCTTCCAGACGTTCTCCAAAAAATGAGAAATTCATCTCAAACTTTCTGTAAAATACATCCATTACGTGTTGATACCATGGAGACATTTTTCATTTTCAAATATATTTTGTCATATATTTCTTAAATCTTCTAGAATTGCATGTCTAATAATCTTGCCTTCAAATCCTACTAAACTTTCCAAACTGCCATGTATAAAATCATAAAGAAAAATTATCCCTACCAATTCTGTAGCAACAAAAAGCCAGAAATATTTTGAAAAAAAAAAAAAAAAAAAAAAAAAAAGTGGGGGGGGAGAGAAAAGTGTAAAATTAATTTTATAGAGAAAACTGATGCATATTCTGAGAATTTTGAATATTCTGAGACAATTACATGGGAAAAACTCTTACTATGAAAAAATTAAAAAGACATTTTGATTAATTACTTAATTACATAGCTAATTTTGCTTTTGAATTTCATAAAGTGTGCTATATAGCATCATACCTTGTTTATTTTTCAGATTCAAAATATTGTATAATAAGTTGCAAAAATGAAACTTTAATAATAGAACAGCAAAAAATAAAAATGCTTCATTTTAATGTTATTTTTTAAATATAATTTCAATATATTACCATTATTTTAATGAAATTTATCAATGTTATGATGTTTCAAAAAATTCTCAGACCTCAGAATTAACAGTTTAATAAAAGAATTCACATCCCCAAAAGTGAAAAGTCATTTAAGAGCTTTTTATTAGAAAAAATGAATTCCAAAATGCTTATGTTTCACTTCTTGCTTAGAAACTCAAGTATCCCATAGAAACAAACTCTAACCCATGAACCCATTCAAAAGATAACCATATACATCAGTGAATTGCCAAAAATATTCCTCCAAAATGCTAACTCACACTTAAAATGGCAGTCGTAAAAACAGACAGAAATTTCAGATGATTAAAATTAAGGACCTTCTGCCGATTTTGCCCAAAATTAAGGACTTTTAAAGGACCAAAAATCGATTCCAAAAAATCTAAGGACTTTTAAGGACTCTTAAGGAACGTACGAACCCTGATTTAGTTTCTTTAGGAAAAGTAGAAATTGCTGATATAATGGCAGAAAACATAAAATTTAGAAAATAAATTATTCTCACCTATTTTTGAAGGAAATAAGGTTTCATCATCTAACTGATCTTGAACCCATGTCATAAGGTAATCAATATATTTTGGCGCAGAGCACTTTATTGGTTTTTTTACTGTCTGACCATCAGCCCAGTGATACTCATATTTTGGTCCCGCTGACATTACTGGGCAACTATCCTCTGTACAAAATTCTGTTATGGTGCCATATAACATGTTAATTTGGTTGAAAAAATCCACAGCTAAAATGCAAGAACAAAATTTGTAAAATAAGAAAAATACATTAAAATTTCAACATTTGAAGAAAATTTAAAAAGGGGGGAGTCAAGAAATCTGAACATGAAAATTTAATATTTCAATCATTTCACATCTAATAAAACTAAATGATGCACACTATTATATATAATATGCTTATCATTAATAAATTTTCTCAAAAATAATCAATATATATGTGGGAAGTCATCTTTCATGACCGACTGATGGTGCTGCATGCTGTTCAATAGAATTGTTTTATGGGGGGGGGCAAAGGCCTTCATGACAACATAAAACATGTACAACGTTATAAAGATGAAAAATCTTTTTATTTTTGTTTATGATAAATTTTCTGGAAATATCCATACTCCTGCCACCCATTTTCATAGTGTGTAAAAATTATTGATAATCTTCATTAAATATTCAAGTTAAAATGTCAATTGGACTAGTGTATCTATTTTCCCTAGACTTTAAAGTTCCAGCCATTTATGAAGTCTGCTCTCAGACTACAAGTTAAGAGTATCCCTACATATTTTGGAGTCTTGGTCCGAGATGAGCCTCAGATAAGGAATAAATCATGATGATGAATGAAAGATTACTACATTGGATCATTTAAATTTGTTCTGAACTACTTATTTGCATTTTGTTACTTGTAAGAATAGAGAAAATGACTATGCTAAATTCTATTTCTAGAATTTCTAATTCTTTAGGAACTGGTTACACAAAGTCTATTTAATTTTTGCATCAAATTATATTTGGAACTTTAGGTCAGCGGTTCTCAACTGGTGGTACGCAAAATATTTTTAACTACTAAATTCAAAAATCTCGTGAAGAAAAAGAACATTCCTATGATCGAACTCTAACTGAAGATTTCAAAAATTATGCACTCGTTAACTTTTGGCTGAACTGAAAAAAGAATTTAAAGGCATTTTAAGAAAAAGCTATGAAATTTTTATTGCCTTTTTTTGCACAACCTATTTGTGCTAACAAGGATTTTCTTCCATGTTATATTTGAAAAATAAGTGCAGAACAAAATTAAAAGTGGATCCTAACTTACGGTTAAAACTAAGTGAAATACGACCAGACACACATAAAAAATTGACCTCTCTTAAACAGGCCCAAATTTCACACTAAATTTTAGAATTAAATTATTATAACTTAAATTTTGATAATAAAAATGGTAATGAATTTTTAATCTAATAATTTTTATGTGTGCAAATTTAATATAAACAGAGAATAGGTTCTGCTAATGGTAAAATATTTTATTGAATATTTCTATTGAGAAAATGAAAAATAATCATTGCAAAATGTAGTAGTGGTTCTGAAGATTTTGTTTAGATGGTATACGTTAGTGAAATAGTTGAGAACCGCTGCTTTAGGTGACAGGAAAAAAACAGATCGAGATTTAGTAACTTTTATAGTTTTTCATCTAATTTTAATGTCATGGAAACAAAACAAAAATTACTTCAGACTTTCACTACACGTGATTTCATCTCTGTGTGCAATTTGTTACATTTTAATTATGAGTAAAATGCTAATAAAAATTGCGATTTAACATTGAACAGTCTTTGTGAGTTTAAGCTTTTACAATCCAAAACTGATAATGATGAAAGCAGAAGTGTTCATGATTCTGATAATGATATTAATGATACTTCTGTTAATCCAGAATCACTTCCCAAAAATAATTCAGTAGATCAAAACATTATGATGCCTAGTAATATTTAATTACCTTTTTGTGACATTTCAGAAATTGTTTCGGAATTTAATGGAATTGATACATATGGTTGAATAATTCATTTGCGATATAGTAGAATCTTTTAAATTACTTATGTTATCTGAATTACAAATGATTGTTTTTACTGAAAAACTGCTTATTCGTTAAGTACATATTCGGCTTTGGAAAAAGTATTATGTCATAAGACAAGTTAAAAGAAAATCTTTTATTTGAATTTGGTTTTAAAATAAATAGTGCACAACTTCATAATTTGGTAAAAATGACATTTGAAACCTGGTGAATCAATTTCTAGTATTTAATACAAATAATAAAATTTCTGAGTAGGAGTAGTCCAGAGTCATGGAATGACACTTCTTACCAGTCCCACAACATCCACTACACTTGTGTTAGCCCGCAATCCAGTCTCCCGATAATATGCCAAGCTATGGATTCGGGGAAGATCACATCGTCATGACACATTCCAGTACCTTTTCTCAAAACAGAAGCTGAAAGGTTGAATTTCACCACTGAGACAATGAAAACAGCAGCTTCTGCAAAATCCCAATTTCTGCACTTATAACCATTTTCTGGTTTTTGAAGTATGAACACTGATTTGCATAATTTCGTTAAAACCATGTGCTTCCCTAATTCTTTTTAGCAGTGTAGAAAATACACATACTCCCGTAACTCAATATGGACAATCTGAATTTTTGAAAATTGTCTTTGGTCTTACAAACAGCTCAAGCATTTTTCAAAGATACATCTACGATGTATTTTGTGATTTTTTAAAAGGATAATACCGTAGTAATATCTATATGGTTGATATCATTATTTTTTCCTTAAATGAAACTCAAGAAAACCGAAAATTGAAATGCATGTTATAGACAGCATCAGAATATGAATTAAAACTAAACCTTAAGAAATGTCGATTCCTAAAACATGAAATTGAATTTCTAAGTCACAAAATGAAAGATAGGAAATTATATCCTTCTTCTAAAACAAAAGCTGTAACTAACCTTTCAGAAACTAACTGTGAAAAGACGCTGAAAGTTGTTTAGATTTAAAGGGTTATTTCAGAAAATTCACACCTAATTATTCATTTATAGCAGAACTACTTAGTGATTTACTGAAGAAGGATTCTAAATTTAAATTCGATAGCAAGAACTTTATGCTTTTAATGAATTCAAACACATCTTATCATCTGAACTTACTTTGTATATTAATAATTCAAAAGTAGAGAAAGAAATACACACTGTTGCTTATGATTACAGTTTGGTTCTGCTACAGAAATACTTAACTGGTAATCACATGCATTCTTTTTATTATATGAAGACAAAGGATATTGGACATAAATATTTGAGCTATGAATTAGATGTTAAAGCAGTCATAGAAGCTCTGAAAAAGTTTATATGTATTAGGCATTCCATTAAAATTGTGACAGATAATAATGAATTCAAACAAACTACGAGCAAGAAAGACATTTGTACTAAAATATCTAGATAGATATTAATGTTACAAGGCTACACAATTGAACACAGATCTATTACTCGTATGCAACATATAAACGCTTTGAGTAGAAACACTGCACGTATGCAATTCAAGATGGTGTAACATTTAAGATAATTCAAGCTCAAGAAACTAATGAAAATATAAAAACTGTAAAATAAGTTTTGAAGTCTAAGCTGTATAAAGATTATTGCTTATGAAAGGATGTGCTTTACAAAATGGTGAAAGAAATGATGTTGTCAACGAAGAATTAGTGCAAGAGGAAACTCAAAACACATCACACTAAGATTTAAAGCCATTGAGTAGAAATGCCACCACAGAAAGAGATTTTGAAGGGAAGCAATTTCCTGAGGAAGAATCAGTTGCTAAAGATGATGAATCAATTGCTAACGTCGTCAGAATACCTTTAGTAACATCCCCTGCAAGAAGCAATCAAAAGAAGCTACTGAAAAAGAAGAAACTACAGGGACCATCAAAAAAGGGAAGGCCTAACAGCAGAAATCTGTGAGAAAATCTGATGACAAAGACGCTGATACAGAAAATTAAAGATGGAACAAAAGAAGGTAAGGAAAAAAAAAAAGGGAGGGGGGAAGAAAAACAAAAAACTGTGATAATGCAACACCAATTCTGATGATTCCTAAATTAAGAGTTTTTCCAACTTGACAGATTTCTCCCGATTTGATTAAAAGATCTGTTTTAAGACCTGAACTATTTTAAGAAGAATAAAGAAGATATCTCAGGATGAAATGTATTAAAAAAGATGGCTTAAGGAAGGCAATATTTAAGAAGACATATCCAAATGCAAGATGATTATACCAAAATCTTATATGATATCCAACTACAAAATGTATTTACACGACATATCAAGACAGTATTTAAGAAGACACATTCAGAAGCCATATCCAGACAGAGTTTAAGAAGAAGCATTTAAGAAGACAAATTCAGACAGACTTATCCAAGTGACACTGAAGAAGAGATTTCATGATAATGACATTCACTTTTCACTTGGTGAAATTTAAAATTCTCTTTTTCCATTTTACAGAACTCCATACAATGACCACTTTTCCAGCATGATAGGATGCATGCTGTCAGGATAGATGAGCATTTCCCAGTTTCACAAAGAAATTTTTTAATACCACCTCATATAAATGAGATATTACTACTACTTAAGTGATATACTGAAAAGTAATACATAAAACAAACATATATTTGCAAAGACATTTGGATATTAGTAAGATGTTTTGGGGCCCATTTCATAAAAATTTTGTTGCATTGAAATTTTTATGCAAAACAGTGTTAACATTTCTTTTGATCGGAGGCAACCTGTCTGCAATCTCTTAGCTGGTTATTTGACTACTGTTCTTCACTAGGAAGTCAACTGTAGCAACTGATGCTTCAGTAATGAATAACTGTGTTTAACCTGGTCGTAGCATATCACCTATACTCACATATTCACTATTAACACTTTTACAGCATCATGTAGACATGCCAGCACGAAGTGTGCTTGCTCACTTACCAGCTGGCATGCAGCTATGACAGAACGCTTTCTCATTAGCCTCAGCCTGTCATGTATTTGTGTCAAGAGTTTTAGAATGATTCAGAAACTAATATGGTTAATAATATGTTTTAGAAACAAGATAGCATTATATGCACTTTGGATTTGAAATACATGTAGATTTGACCTTTCATGCATATCTTCTATTCGAAATGAGACAAAATGGGTCACATGCATTTGGATTTTGATAATATAAACATAAGGCAAAAGGTATATTCACAACTAGCAGGCTTTCTAACAGCTCTTTAAATGTCCACATGGTATTAATTAATGAAGGGAGTTTATCTTTCTATTTTTTTCCTAGAGCATCAGGTGTTTGGGTTTGCAGTCCAGATCCTAATTGAGAATTTATTATACCTTAAATATATGAAACATTTCTCTTTTGAGCATTAAAATGTTGATACGTCGAAAACCTTTCACAAATTATGTGAATCTAAATTGGGTTATATCTATGCTCTGTTTGTTGCCACTCCTGCAAAAATCCTCCATAAAAGAAAATGAACTATATTGAATGCAAGGATTGTAGCGCAAGACTGAATTGTAAAGTAAAATGTTTGTTTCCAATTTTATAATGTCAAAAGTCACTAACAGGAAAGAAAGCACTAGGGAGGAAAAAAAAAATTTAGAGTGCAAAATAAAAATATTTAAACTCACCCCAAAAAACTTCATGAAGTACATAAATAAAAAAAATATACAAAGCACATACCACATATATAATCAACAGAACATTATTAAACAATGCATTCATTTTCCCATAATTTCATGGATTTATGGCTTAGTAGTGAAAACCCTCTGGCCCTGGAGAGATGTTTATGAAAAAGAGCAAGCTCAGTAACACAAGCACATTTGCACCTTTCGTTCTGAAAGGGTTAAAAATCACTGCTCTGTGTGACACACATTCTTCATTCGACAGTAAATGTTGGGTTGACTAACACCAATGAAAAAATTTTGTGTGCTGAGCAAAATTTAAAATAATCTATGGCACAACATTACTTATTATGCTGCTTATGTTTCACTTAATGACACAATGCCACAAACTAGATTTCAGTTCACATATCATTCATTATCTGCTGAAGAAATCTAAAAGTTCTATCAAGTAGAATAATACTGTTAGAACCACATTTCTACTTTCATGTGGAACACTCATATATTTCGAGAAGGAAATTCATTGCTTTTTAAAGTAATCTACTGACATATGACAAAGAAATTTCAGCACACTTCTTACAAATCTTCATCTTGCTAATTTTTAACAAAATATAACTATTACTACTGTTCCTTTCTTTTTTAAAAGGAAGAAAAAAAACATACATGCTTCTAACTACCTGCAATACTAAAATCACAAACCTAAATTGCATAGCTACTGATGATAGGAATAGTATTTTGTTAGCTGTGAAAGTTTGTTAACATCAGTCACAAAACATAATAATGCACCATTTACATTTACTCATTCAGCAAAAAAATTTTGCTCAAAAGACTTAAAATACCAACTTGGGTGATCTGCTTTGCTAGCGTCAGCCAATAAGGTTGCTTTAATGAGAAAGTACTAATTTCTAAATTAATCTAAAATAAGTTTAATTCATACTACAGATATGACTGTTCTTAATGCAAATAAACAATGAAATAACTCTCAAACTATGACAGATTAAATGCAGATGTGTCTCATGCGACTCAATAACTGTGATGTGCAGTAAAAATTTGTCCGAAGTGATTATTTTGTCAATTTGCTAATACATTTTAATCAAAGTTACAATACTTTTCAGACACCCGGTATTGTACTAATTATGGACAAAGCTATAATAGTCCTTGTTAGAAGTCACGTTCCAAAACACTGTCTCAAAAGATAATTTATTAAATTTGATTTTAAGTTTAAAATGACAGTGTAAATGATATTTCTAAAAATTTCAAAAGAAATATCGAAAAATTCAAGCAAAAAAATTTCATACTGGTTACTAAAAAAAGTTAACAAATAAAGAGAAATAATGGTTTACACAGAAAACTAATCAATATTCACATTATTATTAACACCATAAATAAGACACTATAAAAGTAACATACTATTAACTGCAACCCATTCATTTAGATCTTCCCCTTCTGGAAGCATCACTGCAAGGCGCAAATTTCCACTTCCTAAGGTAGCAGCAGCATGTTTCATGAGATCGTATTGATGAGTTCCTTCAGGAATATTCTTTTTTGGCTTAAATGTCTTTGATGAACGTCCTCCACTACAAAAGGTTGGATAAGTAAAATTTCTGAACATACTGATAAAATTACAGTATTTTCTGATTATCTGCACTCCCATGGGAAATTGCCCATTCGTTGGCAATTTTATGAATATAGGAAAAACCACTTATTAGGTTAATTATTATGGCTCAAAGATACTGTTCTGGTCATAATTAACAATAAAGAAAAGCATTTTATTAGAAACAAAAAAATGAGATGATGGAAATATTATATGGCTATATATATACATTTTATAAACTGATTAAATACAAAGCATGTACATTCATGTCTCTCAAACGTATGTGGGATTAAGTGCTTGAGTACGTTGACTACTGTTGCACATATGCTCAAAAATATGCAAAAAGAATGTCAATTTTACTGAATGTTAAAAGCTGGGATGTGGATAAATAGAAAGCACCAAATTTTATGTTGCTTAATGAAGCATTATGACATTAAAGGAAATCAAATTTCCCTCCCCCAACCCTCCTCAATATTTGTCTTTTTTATTAAACATTTCTTTCAATATCAATTATTTAAGCTATTTCCTTTCTCTTTACAGATACACATAATTTTTTGTTTGGTTTAGTTTCATTTTTCTAGTCCTTAACTGGAGTGCTGAGAATTCCTACTAAATTTTGAACTAAAATAGTTTCATGCTCAGCAGTCTCTCTCTCACTTTCTTCACAATTGGTAACAATATTTCCTGCATTTAGAACCCCACTACAGATTTTGCCATCCATTAATTGAATGATGGCTAGGAATGTCATTGCAAAAGAAAACTTCTATTATATCATCTTCATTTATTACCACTTCTTCACAAAGTCCTCTAACTAGAAAATTTCACTCTTTTTTGCAATATCTGAACCTTCAAATTTGAAGCTAACATCAAAAAGCTTAGCTAGTGGTCGTTCTCGGTAAAATATCACCAGACTTCACTAAGGTGGCTGCACTAATACATAAGTACCAAATTGATTTTTTTGATCATTTCATATTATTACATTTATATTTTATTCATACACAAACTACTACAGTACAAAGTCTGTAATCCGGACTCGTCGGGATTTCGGCAATTCCGGATTAGGGGGTTTTCCGAATGATAGATCATCAATTTAAATCTGGTAAGATGGCATGCAGAAATTATACAATTAAAAATATGAAATCGTAAGTTATGAAATAAAGAACAATTATGATCTAAAGGGTATCAAAATTTACAAAAAAGCTTAATATTTATTTGTTTACTTTATTAAACATTTCTTTCAATGTAAGTTGTTTAAGTTGCTTCATTTTATGTGATAATACTTTCTCTTTAATTCTATAAACAGACATAATTTCTTCTTCAGTTACAAAGTTCCGCTGTTGAAGTCCTATAATTGCTGTGTCGAGAATACCGACTAATTTGTCAATCAAAATTTTTTCGTTTTCAATAACCTCTGTGTCACTTTCTTTGCTATCAGAAGCGAATTATAATGACGAGGAATTTGATTTAAATCATATCAAAGACAGAGTACATCGAGATGAAATACTACATTTAGTAAGGAATTATAAGCCAAATAAAATAAAAACATCTTCCCTGAAGATAAGGATAGTGCTGACAGATCAACTTCCAATACATTGCACGCCGCGGCGATCCCCCCCTCCCGCCGCAGAGCAGCGTGAATTTGATAAACAGATTTCAGAATGGTTAGATAAAGGATTATGTTATCCATTTTTTTCAGCAATTCCACTTTTTGTTTAATGCACTTCGAAACATACTTTCGCTTTGTAGATCCTTTGGTAACTCCATCATCGGATTAGTAAATATATATCAGAAATTTTATTTGACATAATCGAAAGTTCAAGCTTACTTTTATAAAATTGCTCTAACAGTCTGCAAAAAATAATAAGCAGGATCCAATTCGAAGATTAAGGAACAACGCAATCTGCAACATTAACTGAATTAGATAATTTTAGCTTAGCTTATACTGTCCGTTATACATTAAACGCGCATGTGCACACACATATTCGCAGCCGTAAAGGTCTTACACACATGCATCAACGCGACGCATGCGCAGAAAGTTTGTAGCTTTGAGGTCCGGATTATAGATCATTCCGGATTATGGGTGTCCGAATTAACGACTTTTGACTGTGTGTATACTGGAGTTGCCACATAAATTTAAAAAAATATCCTCCGTAGTGTCGATATAATCTGAAGTTCGATCGTATACATTTCCTTCCTACAAACTGGAGACTTAATAATGGCTACTAAGTAAACCTTCATTTACACACCTGTCAATTAATACTTTTCCCCCTTCATTCCAAATTGTACAGAGACTTCAAATTAACCCGCAAAGGCACGCGCTACTTCTAGCTACACAAGGACGCCCGTCGGGTTCCGCAGGCCCGAAGCATTATTTCTTAACAAAAGAAAAATAAAATTGCTTGTGTAAGTAAAGAAAAACACTTAAATAATAAAAACAGAGTTTATAAAATGTAAAAAATATACTTTTAATTTAATAAGTCTAATAAAATTGTATTTTAAACAATTTTAAGACTGAAATTATTAATCATTAACAAAAATTAAACTGATTTCGAGTGGAAATGAAATTTAGTATACTAATTTATGCAATAGTATACTATTTTTACAGCAATAATTTCAAAATAAAACTTACATTTCACATTTTTTTGAAAATCATCGGGCTGTGTTTACCACAAACATTTTTCTCGCACATAGGGCAGCAAATTTGTGATTTTTGGTACAATACGCCAAGACTGTAAACTTTTTTGCAATTTTCAACGAACTTTCAAAGGCATATTTATCAAAACCATTTTATTTATTTCCCTTCTAGATAGGTGATCTTTTATGTCATCAAATCTCAACCATCTCATTAGAAATAAAAAATGTTTGTTAGACATTGTTCGATGAAAAATGACAAGCACCATTTCGTCAGTCACCCAAAGGTAGAGAATATTTACATGAGAAGCCTTGTGGAGTCCTCCAAAATAAAGAAGACACATAAATGCTTTGATTTCTGTAATATTTGTGGATTGAGCATCTCTCTATCTTCCAAATTTGACGGCAATGGATTCGATATAAATGTTCGCACAATCTACTAGAATGTTTACTATTATTTTATCCATTGGAAGTTGCCAAGAATTCATAGGGGAGGGCACAAATTTTGCTTCAAACATTTCTGAGCAATTTTCTCACAATGTTGTGAGCAAGAATTCTCACAGTAAGCTTGGTTCTTTTTTATTCCCTTTTGTCACATTGTATTTGCCAAGATAACAAACACATAATTTTTGACGGACACAAAATTACTTAATTCACTACTAGATTCATTGCTTGAGTCTAATGCCTCTTCAGAATTCGATTGGGGATCACTAAACTGTTCTTCACCAACTATTTCTTCATCCTATTCATTAATTATATCTTTATCAGTCGACACTTCGGTTAGCAGTTTCTGTAGTCTTTTCATTTCATCATCATAACTCAAATAGCAAGACTTTTTTGCAATTGCCTGATCTCTTTCGCAGTTTTAAATGACAATGCGAGCACGCGCCTCGGGCCTGGGAAGCCCGGTTACTCAGTTTCTGAGATAAGATGAAAGGTTAAATTCCAGAATGACTAGTACATGACCTTAAATGCAGCTACTGAGAAGGTAGAAAAATTTCACCAAAGGGAGAAATTTTTGTATTACGTTTTTGCAACGACCGAGCCTCGCAGGCCCGACGTGTGTTAATCTTACCACACTGAGCCATTTTACCGTGTAACTACAAAATATAAATGTACTTCTTATCCAAAAGCCGACACACACTTTCCAAATCTTTTCACAAAATTTCAATTGACCGCAATCACACAACCAATTATATCATAATAGGGTTTCCATAACATTTAACTACACGGTTTACCATAAATGAAACAACTTAGTGATAATCCAAGGGGCACACTTAAATCTATTTTAACCATTATAATTCTTTTATGTTTTACTGCATTACATTTTGGATGGCATTTTACTTGGGAGAGCACTAAAAAAAAAAAAAAAAAAAAAAAAAAAAAAAAAAAAAAAAAACGCCAATATTCACCAAGGGGAACCCTAAAATATAATTTTCCCCCACCATTTAATCACTTCCCCCCTTCTGTTAATACTACCCAAACTTCAACTGGTAAATTTAAATTTCTTTATAACTAACTTTCGATATTAAATTTATTTAAAAAATGCTCAATTATTTGATGCCTTCTTTTATCCTTACAAATTTCGCTTACTAAATGGTATTCGGCATTTAAGATGCAGTTTTGTCATAGCTAACCTTTTCCAAGTGTATCACTTATTTTCCAAAAACATCTAAAAATTTCATATTATAAATTACTATTGGCTCTTTGAATTTCGCTTACTAAATGGTATTCGGCATTTAAGACGCAGTTTTGTCATAGCTAACCTTTTCCAAGTGTATCACTTGTTTTCCAAAAACACCTAAAAATTTCATGTTATAAATTACTATTGGCTCTTTTTTTCCTTACTTAAATGTTATTTGGTCTTTATGGTGCAATAACTCAGCAAGTATGTGGAACTGTATACCAATGGAGAAAGACTCATACCAGATTGAATTTTGGGATGCACATTGTTTTTTTTTCTATTTGTTTTTCATGCTAATCTAAGTTATAGCTTACTTCAATTTATGTATAATGTGATTGCTTAAATTTGATCTAATATTGATCAAATCCAGGTATCTTCACTGCCAAGAAATATTTGGAAGCTGAGTGAATGGGTATGGCAATGTGTACTGGGACAACAAATAAGATAATGTCTAAGGAACATTTTCCAGTTTAATTGTGTACGTATGTTCTACAATTCATATTCTACAATATGTAAATTTGAAATCAACAAGCACTACTTTTAACAACATGTATTTAAATGTCTTTGAACGAACATCTTCAAAACAAACATTTATAATACTAAATTTCATTTGAATTCTCTTCTATATTTTGTAGCCTATGTACATAATCCACTTAATTTGAGTAAAAAAAAAAAAAAATGTTTTCAATACAATATGGTATACAAATTAATTATAAATATACTGCATACAAAGTAAAAAGAATGATACTTCATACTTTTTTCTTAAAAATTTTCTTCAACCTCAGTTTTCTATGAGGTATTTTATGTTTTAATTATAATTAGTTTCCTTAAAAAAGTGTTGGTACATCCTTGTTAAAGTTAAGCATTTGAAAGCATGTAAAATATACATATTACAAATTAAAAAGTTTGCCAATTTCAGTGATTAGCTAGTATAAATATAATATGGGTCAATTTGATATTAATGACATTTTATTCATTTCTCAATAAGAGTAACTTTCATACAAATACACTTCTGGAAAAGATGAAAATAAACACAGGGTTGAATAAAACAAATTTTCTGAAAATTATTTAAAAATTAAAACATATTATCACTTTTAAAATTTATTAAAAATCAGCAAAAACACAGTACCTGGAAATTAATAGATGCATTCAGAAGGAATTTATGTTACTATATTGAGTCAAGATATACTTATATGAGGGCAATTTTTTTATAAGTAATTATATTTAAAAAATTCTGCATAAATGAATAAGGCTAATTAAATTTGCAGATAACATATATATAACAAATTAATAATTGCTTTAATTTAAATATTATAATCTCATTTATTCTTTATAAACAAATACATTTTATTTTTTAGTTTAAAAGAAGTAACTGATATTGCAATACTACTACATAATGATATGCCGCGTTTACTGCTCTTCATAATGTCGCTTATTCACCAGTGTACCGTATACTAAAATTAGACCAATGAATCATTATAGTTAGAAGCTATTTATTAGCAGTTTAGAAATATACTGAAAAATAATGAGGGGTAATACACAGTATGACTTTTCTCGCTGAAGCCGGATTCTCTTGAAACTATTTTATTTTCTACCCGGTGCACCTTTTTTTTTTTGCAATTATTTATATATTTTTAAATTTCACTCAATTTTTCTTTTCTTTAAATCGGAATTCCGTAAGCATTCTCGAACTTCTCGTGCTACGGAAGCTTGTTCTTTAGTAATAGCATACGTAAAGAAAAATTAGCACATATATCACTGTAACACAAGAAAGCAAAACTCAGAGATAAACATAAACACAGTAAGTGCGGAGAAACTTGTAACTGAAATCTTTATGCATTATTTTGTTTAAAATCTACATTAGGAATAATACAATAAATGCTCACTATTTTTTAGGTTTAAACTTTTATTAATTATAGACTGCATTCAGAATTCAGCTGTGCTTGCATAAAAGAATACAAATATGTTTCTGGACGGTCTATTTAAAGATGGAAAATATGAAATGTTGTATCGGTATAAATTTTCTTTCAGTTAAATTAAAGTATTTTAAATTCAGATAACGAATGATACTTACAACACTTAATGCTTTGACGATTTTTTGCAAATTTAAGGTAATCTAAAAACGACCATAGTATGCGGTGACAGATAACGATACGCAAAGTGGACTAATTCAAATAACAAAATGTAAAGAAACTTACAAAAAGAAGCTCATTATCGACGGAGTTCTGTCGGATATGTGCAGAACGGTGATTTTCGTATCTTTCAGTTCATGAACAGTGACACTAAAATGAGGAAATTGTTTAAATAAGAAAAAAAAAATAGTGTAAACATAAAAGCAAAAACATGGATGCTAACATTCACTGCATGAGAAATAGTATATGGAATTTAAAGTATTAGAAGAATCCCGTTGCCAGATTTTATCTGATTTGTTTCATTTTGCATGAAATTTCACGGCCCAAAGAGTGGCGCAGTAGCCGACCAATCTCAGCTTCTATGGATGAGATTGCAGTGGGCTAATGATAGCTCGTTGACAAAACTCAGACACGGCGCTGTTACAATGTTACTTGCTGTTACTAATATATTGTTATTTTCGCAGAAATTTGATTTAAATATCAGGTGAAATTTTTATGATGATAAATGACAAATTGAAAATATGTTGTTAACTCTACATTTGTCAATTTTTTTATCAGATATACACAAAGTATGAAATAATAAAGATAATATTTTTCACTTTTCTTAAATAGACTATTAAAAGTTAGCTTTTCTTCAATTCCTACTTCTCAGCGTTTATAGTGATGCAACATGGGTGCATTGTAGAAAAACGGATTTCTCAAATTTTCTTCGATTTTGGGGAAATGACATTTCACACATTCCGCATTTTTTTTTTTTTAATTTTCTTTAAACTCAGTCTTCTGTTAGGTATTTTATGTTTTAATTCCTGTTAATTTGATTATAAAATGTAGTGCTTCCTTGTTAAAGTTAAGCCATTGTCAACATTTCATATATGCGCGTTACAAATTGGAAAATTTTCCAGTTTAGATGCCAAAGCTAAAATAAATACGGAGTGGACACATTTTAATATTAAAAGCATTTTATTCATTTCCCATTAAGAATAACTTTCAAAAGAAAGCACTTTTGGAAAAGATGAAAATAAACACAAGGTTGAATAAATCAAATTTTTTGCAAGTTATTTAAAAATTAAAGCCTAATAAATTTTATTAAAACTGAGCAAAACATAGTAGTTGGAAATTAATTGATGAATTCAGAAGTAATTTATAATTTATGTTGTTATATCGGATCAACGATTCCTTATATGACACACACACACACACACACACAGAAAAAAAAAAAAAAAAAAAAAAAAAAAACTCAAAAAGGCGTTAGCTCGAATTTGCTATTTGTTTCGAAACAAGATTTTGCATCATCCACTATAAAATGTGAATCACTTTCAAATTATTGCCACCATATATTATCCCCCTGTATTATTTTTTATAGAAGTTAAACAATGAAGAATCTACATGTGTGTATGATGTATGTGAAAAAACGACGGTACCTAGAGCCATCACATTTTGAATAACGTAGTCGTCCACCCGAAAATGTGTACCTGAAAGCCCTAGTATTGATAGGATTCTAAACAGAGCTACCAATAAAATCGGGGGGGGGGAAGTCGTAGAAATTGATGGAAGCCTTTTTACGAAGTGCAATAAAAAGCAGATCGAATACTCATTTATTAATAAATATTTGGCAGGATGTCCATCAACTGTGATGGTTTGATGGTAGCCAAATATTGCGGTCGTCGAGATAATACGTAAGTTGTCGAATTTTTAACAGAATTTTATGAGCTTGAATTTTTGTCTTTAGTCAAGGCTGGCGCCAGAACGTGTTCAATCTGCGCAGCAGCACCGGGCTGCTGAATTTAGTGGAGGCAAAATTTTTAGAATTTGGGATGGGTCTGGGTGTCAGAAAGGTTTTTTTTTTTTTTTTTTTTTTTTTTTTTTTTTTTTTTTTTTTCACCGGGAGGCAAAAAGTCTAGTTCCGGACCTGCCTCTAGTTCAACTAAAAGGGAAAAATATTCCGTTTTCCCAACTTTATGACAAATTTTAGTCACACCGGCGAGCTTTAGAATCCTTAGGCTTTACTAAGAAAAATATGCTGCGATATTTTTCTCGTTAGTCGAGTCAGTGGTTCTAGAAAACATCTTTAAGATCTGGAAAAGACAGCGGATAACTAAAAAAGCTTCAACTAAAAATACTGATAATTGTTTATGTGAGTTATTAGATTTTTTTTAAAAATAGAGGTAGAATGAGAGGAACGAGTTAAACTAAAAACTTTTTCTTGAATCCGACAAACATAAATCTAGTTCATGTGTTATGTATAAAAATAAGATGTCGAATACTTTACTCAGTGCTGCAGCATTAGTTTATTCACGCAATAATTATGCAAATAAAAAAGTACTGTGATTTTGTAATAAATAGGCACATTCTTCTCAGGACTGTGCAGATGTTTTTGATTCTTCTTTAACCCCGGTATTCACCAACAGCTAGTTAACTCATGTATAAAAGAATCCATGTATCATCAGATGTAACCCACAGAGTTCAATCCTAGCATACGGTACCCACGAGATTTGGCGAAATTCAGGAGATGGTTTTGGTGTTGGCGACAATTTTCAGAATCGCTCCAAAGCCTTAACATATACTAGTATTCTTCCACTCACAGTCTGAGCAATGGTTAACACATTCGGTAGTCTCCGTTGGTGAATTACAGATTCTGATGACACATGATACATTATTGTATGCAACGGGAGTTGTAACTGGCTATGAAAAATCATATGTCTTTAAAAGACGTATAGAGTAGGTTTGTTTACATTTAGAAGTTGGTTTTAGGTGTTATCATCCAGATCTACTGTGTTAAAAAATTTCCTTTTCATTTTATGTGTGATAAATATGTAACAAAACGTTATATAAAATCCGTGCTCACTTATACAACGCCAATTTCACGTAAATTCGTATTTACAGTGAAATGGAGTAATTTCGTAATAGTATTACTCTTTTATTCAAACTCAAACATAGAAGACAATAAATAGACTAATAATATGTTTTGTATTTTAGTTCATGTATTTTAGTACTTTGAAGACAATAAATAGACTAATAATATGCTTTGTATTTTAGTTCATGTATATATTAAATTCTCATGAAAAGATGCATTTTAAAGTTGAAGATAAATTAATAAAAATATAAGCATTCTCCTATCTGCTAAAACTAAAAGTAATATTAAAATTTAAGTCACAAATGAAACGGTAAATTATAGGCTCTTAGTATCCATAAGATGAGATATTCAGATGAAATAACCTATATAATGATATTTTGGTACTTTTCCAATTTGCCAAGGCAGCGATAAAGTCTCCAATAGTGGTACAACTGATGTTAAACAGAATATCCTCTCTGGTAACATTTTACGCTTCATTTTCAAAACAAATCGCAGCCATTTTTTATCAGATTGGTTGTTTCTTTCAATACTGGCAGAAAATTACATAAAATTTTTACTAGATAGCTCAATTTTATACCCTAAGGCCATTCGCACAGGAAAAACGAAAACTACCTTTTTATCTAAGGAGCATGACTAATAACATACAACAAATATCCTAAATGCGCCATTTTTAGATTATATGTGATAATAAATGAGTTCCTTGATAAGGTCATCCATAAAAGTTTAAATTGTGTGCACATTGAAATGATCATTCTGATATCTGAAGCAAATTAAGAATTTCTCAAATCTGGCAAAATTTGTTCGTGAAAAACGAAAATAGAATAATAGATACTTTTCTAATAGGTTCTATGCACATAAAATTACATAGAATTTTCACCAAATAGCTCAATTTTATGCTCTAAGACCATTCGCGGTAATTAAGTCAACTGGGATGCATCACACCGCTCACCCGAAGGCGAAAATATGGAGAAGGCAAACTCAAGGGTTAAATTCCTCAATTCTAATGAGAATGCACTAGCGAAGTAAAGCACTTCGGTTTTACATAATTTCTGAGTAAGCTATTTTTAAGAATTGAAATAATTCTTGCATTTTAAACTTGTATTCCAAACTAAGATTTAACTTGAAATTAATGTAGATAATTACTGAGAGAATTGGATTTTTGTAGCACAGTTTACGTGAGTTGAGATCACTTGGGTTCACGTGATATGAACCGGCGAATCAGGATGTTGAACCATGAAAGCATAGTAAATTCTTAAATTAATGTCTTTTTACAAATTTATTGGCTTTTTATAAAATTTTAATCGATATTAAAATGTTTATGCTTTCAAAATAAAAAATTCTTAGAACTAACATTTGTTAACATTTTTTATGTGTATACTGTGTCGTGTCGTCAATAAAGTCTGCTTGGCGAGATTTGCGCCGGCGAAACGGAAAAGTGCCGATATTTTATTTTAAAATTGTTATTTTTCTACCTATTTTAAGATTGTTATTTTTCTATCTGTTTTAAGATTGTTATTTTTCTACCTCAAGCTTTTCCAAATGCTTTTACAGTATTTAAATCCTTGAGGATGAGACGGCTGTAGGGCAATTTTCAAGGTTTTCCCATGTGTGACATGGATATGAGCCAGATTATCTGAAAAAGGCCTTCTAAAAAGACATCTCTTTGTAGAGGGTCTTTTAGAGGTAGCCTTTGTGTGCTTTGCTGTAATGAAGACTTATCAAGTATTAAAGAACAGTTTCAATCATGTAAATGCACGTGATCCAAATTTTGTTCCGAACAATATGTTCATATTTTACTTTTTCTCCTGCGTTATCTCAGAACACTTACTTTCTTTTTAGAATTTAATAAAATTCCGTATGTTGATTTTTCTCAGTTATATAATCAGCTTGGAAGTAAATTATTCGAAAGTGATCCGGTTTACTGTAATAAAAATAAATTTTTATTTTTATTACAGTAAACCGGATATGTTACCTTATATGAAAACATAAGGGGCCGAGTTGATAAATGTATGCAAAATAAGTTTCTTTCATGAAATTTTGATGTAAAAGCCTACCATTTGTTCGTTATCATCTGAAGGTTTTGCTTGCACACCAGCGGTGCAGCAATAAATTTGCTGACGAATTAATGCTGACGAATGGGTTGGCTCCGTGAGTATTTTCGTGGGTTTTCCCATGTGTAATGATCTGAGTCAGTTTTCCTTTAGAAAGTCCTCCATGGAGGTATACCTCCCCTTAGGCGGATGTGTTGTCTTCTTACGTGCTTTTAATTTTCTTCGGTTAAATCGAAACCGTCAATGGTGTTATAAGCAGTACCTCCCAAAAAGGATTTCAAATAATTAAATTTGCTTATAGCGTCAAGCGTTTTATTTTGATGTATACTGATGAAAAAGTGTTCCAAAATG